CCCCTATCGGCCCCTCACTGCCGCTCCACAGCCCCCCTGCCAGCCCCTCACTGCCACCCCACAGCTCCCCTGCCATCCCCTCACCGCCGCCCCACAGTCCCTGCCAGCCCAGCTCTCAGGGGGCTATTGAGGTGGCTGGCGCTGCACTAGAATAACCCCCCTCCCCCCATCAGGCCACCATGCCCCACTGGGACCAATGGAGATGCCTCCCCCCTCCCCCCTCCCCTCGAGACAGTCTGGTTTGGGCTAATTCAGGTGATTTATGGTGCTTGGTCATGATGCTCCTTGAGGTGCAGCGAGGCAAATACAGGAGCAGGGGGGCCGGAAGCCTCGACGCCTGGGTTCTCTCCTGGCTCTGGGAGGGGAGTAGGGCCTAGCGGTCAGAGCTGGAGCCCGGATGCCTGGGTTCTGGGCTGGGGGCGCAGGGCCCCGCGGTTCCATGTGGGCGCTGTGCGGTGATTTCACCGTGGCCTGGAGCTGGTAAGAAAAGGCAGCAGTGCAGGTGGGGTTTGTACGTCCCCCCAGGGCTGTTAGCCAGCTTGGGGGAGGGTGTCCCTGCTGGCCGGTTATACACACGCCCTGCAGGGGGCAGCGCACACACCTCTGGCCAGCAGCCACACACCACCCTCTCCCGCTCAGAGCCACACACTGCCGCCCCGGGGGAAACCGAGGCAGGGATTGGGCCTGTAGGTCCCCCCCTCATTGGGCAGGTTCTGACACCAGCTCCCTGAGGACTCGCTCTGCCGGGTCTGGGCTGGATTTAAATAGAGGGGGGGGGGTCTGGAGACAGGCGGACAGGGCATGCACCAGAGATACGGTGTATTCATCCCTCCCTCCCCCCTCTGAGCTTCCTGCGTCTTCCTTCCCATCCCCTGGCTCACACCAATATGCCTGTCAGCTGCCTGGCTTTGTGCCCCCTTGCAGGGGGGGGTAAGACTGTGAGCCTCAGTTTCCCCTCCTCTCCCATCTCGCCTAGGCTTTGCCCCAGTTCCCCCTGCCTTGGATGCCCCATCTCTCGCGGGCTGCAGTAGGCCCAGGGAGGGTCGTGAAATACTGGAATTGGGCACAAAGGAGCTAGGGGTGCGGGTGGGGGGAAGAAATTGTCTTCTGCCGCCGCAGCAGGAGGATGCTGATAGGAGCTGGCAGGACTGCAGCTTCCCCCCTTCGCTGCTTCCCGGCCCGGTGGCCTTTTCAGAATCAATAAGCTCTTTCGGAACTGCGCGCTCAGACCGGGTGGCAGCATGTGTGGGGGCCCAGTTCCCCCCCCGGAACGTCACGCGCCCCAGCCCCCCAGGCAGCCTCTCCCGAAACACAAGAGTGCCCCCCGGACTCATCGCATTGGGACCGATCTCTAGCACCATCTCGTTTCTCCGCGAAAGCATGGGACTAAAATCACGCGACGGTCTTCAAATTACCCTACGGAGACTAAGAATAGGACCTCTGCACCCGTCCAAGCATGTCGTGAGAGGTGACTAAGGAGCAACCCCAACCTGTAAAAATAAACACATGCTACAAAACCAGCAACAACTTCAACCTGAATAGCAAGCCAGCCTCAAAGAGGGATTATGACGCAGGGCAGCCAAACCTGAAAGGATATGTGAACGTGAGGAAAACGGGCCAACGCTGGAGAGAATTAGAAAAGGCGGTACAAGACAGAGAGGCTTGGAAAGGAGTTGTTGAGGGCCTATGCGCCCATAGGAGCTAAGGGCAAAGAAGAAGTCTTCAAATTGGCCCCAAGAGCATGTGTGTGTTCTGGAGCGGCCTATAGGACTGGGCGTTTGATGGGGGACCCTTGGGTGGTGGGTTCTAGTTCTGCTTTTCCCCCACCCACCCTGGGAACAGCTGAGGATGCTGTAACGGCTATGGCTAAGGGCACACAGCAAGCTTTAACTCAAAATGAGCCACATTAAGGCTACGTCTAAACTGGCATGATTTTCCGCAAATAGTTTTCCGTTAAAAGCATTTTCGGAACAGAGCGTCTAGATTGGCGGGACGCTTTTCCGCAAAAGCCCTTTTTGTGGAAAAGCGTCCGTGCCAATCTAGACGCGCTTTTGCACAAAAAAGCCCCGATCGCCATTTTCGCCATCGGGGCTTTTTTGCGCAAAACAAATCTGAGCTGTCTCCACTGGCCCTTTTGCGCAAAAGGACTTTTGCCCGAACGGGAGCAGCACAGTATTTCCGCAAGAAGCCCTGATTTCTTACATGAGATCGTCAGTGTTCTTGCAGAAATTCAAGCGGCCAGTGTAGACAGCTGGCAAGTTTTTCCGGAAAAGCAGCTGATTTTCCGGAAAAACTGGCCAGTCTAGACACAGCCTAATTGTATGGCTTATTTCAGGTTTGGGGGGAGGGAGAGCTCAGTGGTTTGCACATTGGCCTGCTAAACCCAGAGCTGTGAGCTCAATCCTTGAGGGAGCCATTTAGGGGTCTAGGGCAAATGTGTCAGGGATGGTACTTGGCCCTGCCATGGGGCCTCAATGACCTCTCAAGGTCCCTTCCAGCCCTAGGAGATGGTATATCCCCATTTAGTAGTATTATGTATCTATCTTCAAAATCATAACCTACAAGTGGCTCAAAGGTCCGTCCAGCATTTAGAAAGCAGGATGAAGGAGCCACAGAAGGAAAAGCAGCGGGGTAGGTTCTGGAGTAGCCTAGGGGCTAAGGCATTTGCCTGGGGAGCACAGCATGGTGGGCTCACATCCCACCTACTCGCCCTGGGAGCAGCTAGACAGCCAACACAGGACACCTCAGGGATGGAGCTGGCTCATGTGCTCAGAAAGAAGGGTGGCCAATGCCAGGTGCCCCAGATGGAACAAACAGAACAGGGAATCATCCACTGATCCATTCCCAGCTTCAGACGGCGGTGAGGGACACCATGCTGGCCAGTAACCATTGAAGAACCCAGCCTCCGTGAATTTATCAAGAACTTTTTTGACCCTGTTATAATCTTGGCCTTCACAACATCCTGTGGC